AAACGGGCAATAGATGAGGGACTTGTCGTGCTTGACGACCGCAAGTACGTCAAATGGGCAGATGATCTGGGAGATGTATCAATGTTCCCTTCGATGAAGGAGAACGTCGAAGCAAGGAGAATAAAGACGAGTAAAGGAATGGAGCCGGTCAGGAGCCAGAGCATCAAGATAATCTTTGAGGGGGATATCGCGACCACACCCATAAGGGTGGCAGCCACCAAGTCAGCAAGAGGGTCTAGATCGAAGAAAACTGACACAGATTACGTGATGGCTGAGAAGGACGGGCAGCGGGTCGATAGAGAAGAGGTTATCCTTTCGCCGCGAAAGCGGGGAGTCAAGAAGTTCTTAATGAAGAGTTCGTTGGACGAGATTCACACGGTTGAGCCACTGAGGCGGGCCCTTCGGCAACCAATGCAGTGCTCTATTCTGAAGTACCTGGCGGCATCGAAGCCGGCTCGAGATGAATTACAGATGATCACGCGGAAGACTCGCATACCTCTATCAGAGGAGGGTCAGGGAGCCCCTAAAGCGGAAGCTTCTACAGTAGCGGTAACGGGGGTGACAGCCAGAGCGGATCGCATGGCGACAGTCCTTCTCGATGGGATGGAAGGTGTGCCTCCAGACAAGTTGTATATACTTGGTAGCGGGGCCGTAGAGACAATTATAAACGATGGAGCGGTACTCGATGCTGTGATTGATAACGGCAGTGAGGCTGTCATCATAGATGAGGACCAGGCGGTACAAGTTGGACTGGGCCTCGATAGGTCATACCTATTCGAGATAGAGACGGCTGATGGGAGAAAGCAACAGATCACTAGGTTTTGTCACAAGGCAGCCATAGAGGTCCAAGGGGTACGAGTGACCCTGCCTGCCTTTGCAGTCAAAAACTGCAGCTCCAACCTGCTCTTGGGTCGAACGTGGCTGAGCCACGTGCATGCAGTGACGATAGAGCGACCTGATGGGAGCCAAACATTGTCCGTTAAGAAGCCAGATGGGACGCGGGTAATGATTGAGACAGTGGAGCCTCGGGACCCGAGGAACAGAGCAGCTCTCGCTGTGGGTGCAAGACCCAGTGATCAGATTAAGTCTTTACCCATCTCCGGCCGCGAGGTGCGATTTCGCGAGAAGAGATATGGACCACTGCTCACAGAGGAAGAAGGAAGGATGGTGGAGGTAGAAGATTTAGGAAGCCGGCTAATAGTGGACGGCAACTCGTACCCGCAGGAAAAAGATGAGGAATTTGGCGGTGTGGTATCCGTGTCTTTTTTAAGGGCACGGCCCCCTATGGGGGGCTCCCCAAGCGACACAAGCGRGTAGCTCAAAAAGTTAAGCCAGCGGCGGTGGGCCACGAGCGATCGGCACTGGAAGGGGTATCAGAAGAAGAGATCGCGAAAGAAATCAAAGAAAGAAAGAAAAAVGAGCCDCAACGCCTAACGGAAGAGAGGATAGCAGGGATGGACATCGGAGATGGAAATTTGACCCCACAGGAGCGAGAACGTGTGATAGAAATCCTGAAGACATGTGATAAGGCCATAGCTTTCAGCGACRCGGAGCGCGGTAGGATTGACCCTCGATACGCTAAGCCAGCGAGGATTTATACGATACCACATGTTCCTTGGAATGACGCGGGATGGAAATACGCCCAGAAGGAGAAGGAAGAAGTTATCGCTTTCCTGAAAGAAAAGATGRTTTCCCAYGTTGCGGAGCCGTCTGATAGCGCTTATGTTAATCGATGGTTCTTCCTACGGAACCCGAATGGCAAGATCCGATGGATCTAGGACCTTCAGAAGGTCAACGCGGTGACGATACGAGACGTGGGCTCCGTGCCGCACGCCGATTTACTGGCAGAAGGCGCGGCAGGTAGGTCGATCTATTCGGTCTGTGATCTGTTCTCAGGCTATGATGAGGTACCGCTTGACCCTAGGGACAGACACCTCACGACTATGCATACGCCATTGGGACTAATTCAAATGATGGTTGTCCCTATGGGTTGGACTAATGGGGTAGCCGTTTTTCAGAGAGCCATGGTAGCCGTCCTCCAGGACTTCATCCCTGATAAGGTTGAAGTTTTTCTGGATGACTTTCCTATAAAAGGGCAAGTAGACAGGGATGAGATAGAGGTTATACCTGGAGTTAGAAGATTCGTCGAGCAGCACCTAACAGACATTTGCGCGGTACTCGAGCAGCTGGACGATGCGAATTTGACAGTCAGCGGAACCAAGAGCCGATGGGTCGTCTCGAGTATTAAGATCTTGGGCTTTATATGTGACTCGAGAGGACGTCGAGCAGACCCGGCGAAGTTAGACAAACTCCTGAACTGGCCGTCACCGTTACATAGTCCAACCGAGGTCCGGCAGTTTCTGGGAGTGGTCGGTTACTGGCGTATATTCATACGGGGGTATGCGGAGAAGGCTGAGCCATTGAGGTTACTCCTTCGAAAGACTGAAAAATTCTACTGGGATTCTTCGCAGGAACTCGCAATGCAAGAACTTAAAGACGAATTTAAGGAGGGAGGACGCGTGTTGGGCGTGCCATTCTTTGACGATGAGACCGAGAGACCCTTCATAGTATCCACGGATGCTGGACCATGTTCAGTGGGTGGTTTGCTGTCTCAGAAGGACGCTGGAAGGAAGGAAAGACCGTTAAGATTTGAGAGTAAGACACTTAATACGGCAGAGCGTAACTACAGTCAATTCAAGAAGGAGGTGTTAGCTGTTCTCCGGTGTCTAGACACGTTCAGACATTATATCTATGGGCGACGGTTCATCTTGAGAGTAGACCCCACCGCGGTTGCTTCTGTCCTCCAGAAGGACTTTAGTCTGACGGACTCGACCATCGCCCGATGGTTAATACAGATTCGGCTATACGATTACACGGTCGAGAGAGTATCTGGTACTAAAGATGCCGTGGCAGATGGACCTTCACGCATCCCTCTCGAGCGTCCGATAGTAGCTGGGGCTCTGACAATGGCAGAGCCGAGGCGCGCCGAGAGATTCCTAGTTAATCTTTACGAGGGCAAGTACCGAATGATCGGACTACACCTGACGGGAGAAGAGAGTCAAGATTCAGAAATCCGGAGGCAAGCAGCCCAGTACTGCCTTAGAGCTGGCCATCTGTTTCGAAGGCCGAGCGGCTCGGGGATGCCCTTACAAGTAATCTGTGACCCTGAGGAGAGATAGACAATAGTTGCGGAGCTTCACGACGAGGTAGTCGGAGGACACAGGGGAGTCAAAGRAACYTACGAAAAGGTACGCAGGTTGTACTGGTGGGAAGGACAGTATAAGGACGTCGAGAGGTATTGTAGGACCTGCAAAGAGTGCCAGAAGAGAGCTCTTGTGAAATACAAAGAGCTACTTCATCCATCCTATCCAACCCGACCAGGAGAGAAGGTGCACATCGATCTAGTGAAAATGCCGAAAGGGGTAGGCAATATGAACTACATCGTGAACATACGAGATGATTTCACTGGGTTCGTAAACGACAGATCTATCAGGAGCAAGGCGGCAAAGGAAGTAAAAAACTTTGTCCTATAGTATTTATCTAGGTATGGTTGTGTCAGCAAGATAGTGATGGACAGAGGAGCGGAATTCCTAGCCGACGAGGTTCAGAGCGTGTTCAGGAGAGCCGGGGCGAGAGTTTCGATAGCCACCGCCTATCACCCACAGTCGAACTCCCCAGTGGAGAGGGGACACCAGAGTCTGATAGCTTCACTGTCCAAGTGGTGCAAGGGTAAGGACAGTGATTGACCACGATATTTTCGATACGCAATATGGGCGGACAACGTCACGGTCCGGGCTAGTACCGGATACCCACCGTACACCTTGTGGTTTGGGCGATATTGCCCGCTTCCCATAGAGTTTCACGTCGATAGCTGGACAACCGTCGACCGGGCGGAGGAGATGTCCAGAGAAGAAGTCTTAGCTGCCCGAACAAGACAGATAGCCTACGGTTTGGAAGATAACCTTATGACAGCGGCAGATCATCTGGCAGTGGAAAGAGACAAAGGTAAAGAGAGATGGGATAAGAACGTGAGAATCAGAAAGGAGAGGGTGAGTGTAGGAGATATGGTCCTTCTCTACGATGCAGCGCTGGAAAGAACCTGGACCGAGAAACTCGCAAATAGATGGATGGGACCTTACAGTGTGGTTGAGGCACTCGACTGGGGTGCATATATAATAGCAGAATTAGATGGATCCAAGTGGAAGGACCCAGTGGCGGGTGCTAGGTTAAAGCTGTTTAGGCCCAGGCCCGCTCCCATCTTACCGCTGATAAGCCCGCAAGGGAAAGGGAAGGTCAAAATGGAGGATGTAGCCGTCTCGAGACGATATGAGGCGGGAGAGAGTTCCAAGAAGAGGAAAAGGGTGGAGAAAAGAAAGGTCAAAGGGTTGGCGATGGGAAAGAAAAAGAAGTGGTTCTTCGTGATCAGGAGAGTCAGACGGAGAGTTCGTACTAAACAAGCTGACGAGCCGGCACCCATCACGGGACGACCTCAGAAGAGAGGGAGATTCCTTTCCAGGCTAAATTTCCGAAGAAAAAGGGGAGTCAAGAAGAGACTTCTTAGTCCCAGAACTCATAACGGACCGAAACATAAGACAATTAAACGGCGACGTGAGCGTCCTTTACGGGCAATCACCCTGCAGCTCGTCCGCTTCGTTTGATGTAAGTGGTTAAGGCTCGACGGGCCGTCGAGAAGTGGTCCGGGCTAACTGTCAGGCGGCCACAAGCAGTGCGCCGCCAAAAATCTGCAGCTTTGGGACTTAGGCTCAAGGACAAATCTGTGTTTTGACGGTACTCTGGTTTGATTGGGCAACAGAAATTAGGGGAACTCAGGGTACCCCTGATTCTGGGCACAGTGAATCTTACAAGTAACTCTCAAAGATAGCGAGATAGGTGGGCGCACTTGGCGTATCTAGAGACCGTCATTTCCGGCCGTTCGGAGGGCTGGAGCCCGATTAGCCTGCCGCGGAGAGGCATCGCGGAGACGGGCCTCGCCGCAACGTTTTTGCAGCATACGACCGCGGCCGAAATGAGGCCTCAGATTTTTGTGTATTTTAGTACCAAAATTAAAGATGGGGAGAAGGGATTAAGATCAATAGGGGAGAAAATAAAAACATAATATCCCTTAATTTCTTTATTTTTCACGGCATTTACTTATAGGGGGAATACCCTTGTTATTTTATGTTTCCGGCAATGAAATTGAAAATGGGGAGAAGACTAAAAATGAAGAAGGGAAAAGGGGAACGAAAGAACTTCAACTACTCCCTTTTAAACCCTTCGGGAATTAATTTTTGAGAATTTGCGATTATTATGTTAATTCGGACAATAGAATTAAGAAAAGAGAAGGGTAATTAAAAAGTGAACAGACGAACAGAAA